AGCCAGGTTTAACGCGGGAGCACGGCCAATTATGGACCCGTCTGCAGCCGGATGGGGGTTCATTAAATTGAAGCCGGATATTCCTTGGAAGTTTTCGTCGAGTCGCGCGACGGATTTTTCCGGTGCCCGATGGAGTCTGGAACCGGAGTTTTCAACGTGACTCCGGTGTTCGCGGCTTTATCGTCTGTGTTGTTGATGTGGCTATGGGTTTTTGAGTTACAGGGACTCTGAGGTGCACGGAATGTGCGAGAATGTGCGAAGTATTCGAAGTGGGGCTGTTTGCGATGCTGATAGGAGAGATCGGAATTCTATTATTGTTCTTGGATTGTTATTAACTATCGAGAGTCCTACCGAATCTCCGACAATCCTATTAACATCAGTATCACGATGAAAATGAATGCTACAGCATTCACGTCCGCGAACGTGTTAAATTATAAATCTTCATCGCGAATCCTTTGCAGACGAATATCGAGACTTCGAGATGAAATGTTCATATTTGGAACGCTAGGTCGCAAACAGATGATTTAATTACTCGAACAGCAAGAGGTCAAGTATGTGGTTTCCTTTTCTCAATTATCTAAGCAATCGGTATATAATTTAGCTTCATCTGCTGACCGTTTTCTGTACTAGGAATCTTCGTCCACGAAGAATTAACCCTTTGCACTCGAGAGGTGACTCTCACCACTTGATTCGATACAACAAAACTAAAGTTGAACATTTCATATTTCAAATTAAACTTCACATTGTTACATGAAATATTGAAATAAAACACCTTTGTTGCTTGATTTATCTGTGAATTATCGTTACATTGATTTCAAATAATATCACCTATATCTCGTTAAAGAGTGTTGAATATTTCCATTGAAAAACTTTCGAGTGCAAAGGGTCAACACGTTCCATGCCGCGGAAATTCCAGTTATATTTTGCTTATGGACTGTATTGAGTTTTTTAAATAAAATCGTAACTTATTTTCAAGCTTCTGGTTATTTTTATATGTTTTGATATTGTTCCTTTATGTTCCCACCAGTGATTGTGTTCCTTAAAAATATTCATACAGAAATCGTCTTACAGTCGAAGTCGTGTCAAAAATTCCTCAGTACGAACAACATGATCGTTAATCCGCAGCGTCAACCGGCGAATGATCTTCGACTTCAATCAACCCGACAGAATCAATCGAACGACCACCGGTAGATTTACATACGCCGCGATCCACGGCTCTCGACGAGCAAACCCTTTCCCGGCGGAGTCCGGTCGGGCGAAATTCCGCGCGCATTTGCAGACATTAAATATTCAAGCAGCGGGAAGTTCGACGTGTCGCGCACGGACACGTCACGGGCCAGCGGCAGGTGTTTGATATCCCAAAAACTTACCGGTCACCATGAGCCGGGCGTACGAGGAACTTTCCACGGTGTCGCCTGTGACGTGGTGGACGGTCCGGCACCGATAACTGGAACGGGCGTCGGACGAAGTCACCGAGAACACCAGCAGCTCGCCGGTCGGCAGCATATGATATTTATCATCTGAAAGCACAGGCACCCGTAAATTCCGGATCCCATCTTCGAGCGAGCTCGCGGCCGAGCGCGCGCACACGTGCGGATCCCGCGGCTCGTTCACTGGGCTCTCTTCATCAATCTCTAATATTCCCCCGTGTGCCTCCATTTTTTCCCCATCGAAACGCCGGGGCAATCGCGGCCCGTCCCGCGGCTCGCTTCCATTAATATGCAAATTTCTTTAATGGAAAACCCGGCCTCGCCGCTCGCCGCTTTGACTCCGCGTTGTCCGCGGCGTCGGTGCGCTTGTCGCGAATCGGCGGACAATAAGAGGCGTCCGAAAAATCATTCGGAGACCCAGACGCTGGGCGCGTTCAACGGCGGCCGGGGACCGTCGGCATTGAAAGAACGCGCGAGATGAAAATTTCGGCCTCGCGGGCCGCCGATCCTGGCCGTAATAACCGGGACGAAAATCCGCGGGGGAAGGGGCACGCTTAATTCCATGCAGCGGCGCGCGGATCGATGGCCGCGCTGAAAAATCCAGCGTGCAGCCCGGACTTAACGCGACGCGGCCGTCCGTGCGACGAGATTGCAGCTTCGCGTCGACCTCGCGCGAATCGCTTATCGCGCATCCTTCCCGAACGACGGGAACGCGCGGCAGAGGGGGGGAAGGGGGGAAGACGAGGGACTCGAAAAGCAGCCGAGGCGACGGACTCTAAGGGCGGGATTTTCGTGTTTCCCCGTGCCCTTTTTGTTTCCCCGCTTCTTTTTCCGGGGGAAATATGCATGCGCCGCGAACGCGAGTTCCGCGCGAGTCTCGTCAGCATGTAACTGGGTCGAGGGCTTTCCGGATTAACGAATGTAAAATAATCAGCGGGAACGGCGGGAACGCGAGGGCGTTAATGCTGCACCGCCGTTCGTGAATATTTAGCGGCACGGTTTGTCTGTTTGTGCCCGGTAACTCAATAATACGGGGACGCGGTGTTTGCGTGACGAATAGATACAGTGTAATGACCGCTGTCACGCGGGCCCGCCGACATAATCCCGCGGAATGATTCTGGGTCACAAAGCGAATCGATACCCGGAAAAATTCGGGCGGGCGACGGCGGCGGCGGCGGCGGCGGCGATTGACGTCTATTTAGGGGCCGGGCCACCGCCGCTGATCGACGCGGCGAGGACACCGTCGATCCTGGAAATTGAACACCGATTCGAGATAACGAGATCTACGATTGCGTTTCCCGTGACTTTCCCAAGCGACGCTCGCGATAATCGAAAGGCAAATGCGCGGCTAACGACGCGCTCGGATGCATCGCCGGCGCGCCCCGCGTATTTTCGCTCGGCGGTTTCGATATTTTCTCCTTTTTTCCGTGATCTCCTGGGATGACGGTGCATCGGGTAGCTTTGTGGTGGTTGTGAATGAACAGTGGCGCTTGGAATACTGACAAACGCGAGCTTTATGTTTTTGAGAAATGTTAAGATTCATTATTGTGTCACTGAACCTTGGTCGATCATTTTTTTCTGTGATTTAGATTAACACTAGAACTACCGTACCAGTCGAAATGACTGGTTCCGATTTTTTTTAGCAATTATTGATATCTTCGAAGCATTGAGTATTCGAAATGATTTTGAAAATAGTTTCATTTGAGTACTATAATGAATGCCTGAAGAAACTGAAAATAATCTATTGTTACAATTTCTATAGGAATTGCATATTTATCGTATTAGATGCTTGGTGGTTCTAGTGTCGAATAGATTTTTCATGGAATATTGGGAGCAAAAGAAAACGAGCTGGTATGTGATACTGATCTTATATCGCAAGGAAATGGGAGGCAGTGAAACACGATTTCGTCGAGTCAGATGGATACTCGAATATTCTAATCAATTAATTAAGCCCCTCGCCGCTGTCCCACCAGGAACACGGACCGTTACGAGTCAATTCCAAGAAGCCGTGTCAGAGCCCGACGCCAATAAAATTAATTCAGACCATCGAATTCCACTTCCAGTAGGAAATGTCGTGAACCGGCGAGAGCGTCCTCGTCCGGTCACCATGGGACGCTGCGATCGGGGAAATGTAATTCCCCAGTGCGTCACCGGTGACGATTAAAACCGATTAATTCCATCGAGAAATCACCTCTGCAATCGTTCATTTCGTCTAAACACTCAAACAACTTCTTACAGCATCTATCAAACATTCACCCTCATTCCCACAGACTCCAAAAACTTCCCTCAATCAACCATAAACTAAAAACTCAGGCTTCCCATACCAATCGCCCAACGCCTCATACATCCAACAAAATTAAATTCGTCCAATGCGTCACCAAGAAAATCAATCTGCAACTTCGCGCAAACAATACTCCCACTCGAATTCGAGTATCAATCAAAGCGTCGATTCCCACGCGAGCAGCCGGAACGTCTGCTCAAACATCGATACAAAACAACGTTTCTACAGAAATGCCAACATAAACTCGAATTCAAATATCCTGCGACCGCGTGAATCCTGCGAAAGGGAATAAAATTGCACGAGGGCTAAGTGGAAATCAAACAATTCAGACGGGCAAAAACGAAACGACCCCTCGGCCGACAATTCCTAATGTAAATTACGCGAAAATCGTTGCCGCGCACCGCCGCGCCGCGCTAGACGGGCTACAAAGGGCCGTTTCGCCCGGTATTTTCCCCGCTTTTTCTCTCCTGTCCGGCGCGAAATATATTACGTAAATTCCCGTCTTCCGCGGGCGTTACCGGCAGCGACGCGCGCGCGCTCGTGTGTGCTGCGCGTGACGCGCCCGTGGAAAACGCGTCGCGCGAAAATGTTTTCGCCCGCGTTCGCACCTCGGCGGATAAACGACTGCATTTGCGCCGATACAGTATTCATGCCCGTGGTCCCGCCTCGCGCGCACCCCCAAC